GTAAAAAGGGATTAATATTCCTAGTTTAAAGATTTTGATGTTTCTTTGTGAAGATATAATATCCCTGTACAACCTAGAAAAAAGAGAAAATGTTAATAAATTCATACTGTATCACCCTTTGTCCTTCTTATTCAGATAATTTCCGGGGCTGATTTCTAAACATTGACAGATCAAGGATAGAGAGATGTCAGAAGGATAGATGACAGTCTGAATTGGAGTTTTAAAAGACATTTTTTTTGACCTAAGAACCTTATTTCAAGTATTTTCGTCGAAGACGACATTTAAAACTGTCCTGGCATTGATAGGCGCTCAATTTCTAAGTCAAAACTCAAAAATAGTCAACCTTTAGTCTCAGTGCTCACACTCATTCCGACAAATGTAAATAAAGGTTTTCTAAAAAGGCATTCATGAAACAATAATACATTATTAAATCATAATATTTTGTTTGCCAGTTGTCATTTTTCATGTAAAAAGGTTGGCAATAATATAAAACTGATTTTATAAGTAAAATCCCAAACTGTAAGAATTCCAAATGAATGTTAACCAATGTTGGGATTGGAAGGATTGGGATTAGGATGAGGACTAGGAAGTTGGAATAGGTTGGACAGGGATAAATTGGAAATAGATAAAATAGGTTGGGAATTGGGATGGATAACAACTAAAGAGGAAGTTGGGATTGGAATTCAATGAATGTGAGGATGATAAAAGGGTTGGTAAATCGGAAGTTGGAGTAATTGGGAAGATTAAGTAATGATTAGATGTTCTAAGGGGACCACAGCATTGGAAAGAGAATCAGCAAGTTATAGAAGTTCAGAAGAGAGATACAGATATAATAAAGTACGTGTGTAAAGACTATGGAGAATATGTAGTTTAGTGGATAAAAATGTTTAATAAAATATGTGTATAAAAACTATGGAGAATATGTAGTTTAGTGGGTACAAATACAATACAATACAATAAGGGGCGAAGACGACATTTTGGAAAGAATTAGGGGATTGCTGTTAAGTTGGGATAAGAGAGAGAGAAGAGTATAAAAATCATCATTAGAATCATTCAATACTCTGAAACAACAAACATATGTATAATTGAAGACTTTGCATATTAAAGATAGCATCAGAAAATCTACGCAAATTCAAAGCATTTCCTCGGGTAGACAAAGATAGTTATTAATGTCGTCTTCTACAGAAATCAAGTATATATTTATCCTGTTACGTTTCATAATGTCGTATTTTGTAATGGAGTAAATAGTTAGTTAAAAACAAAACAATGAAACAACTTTAGTGTTTTATCTTTAAATATTTAATTTGTCCATAGTCCATTAAAGGGACGAGTGGAGAGACAATGAACATAATTTATCACTTTTAAGTGAAATAATAACGATATCTTCCTCATTGTTACTCAGATAAATGTTCTTGATAGGACCTTTAATGGGTTGGTAACTTGAAATTACATCTATCAGTCCCTTAGAACATTTACTTTTGGTTTGAAGTTTATGAAGTGTTTATAAGAAGAAAATTAGTGTCTTATATCTTTTATGCAAGTAGCCAATTAATTATCTCATTACTTTTTCATTCAAGATTGAATTCTTTCTTAACCTGATTTAAATGAACTATTGAGAAATATACCGATATTATATTTATTTAACAATGTAATAGTTTTTACACTCTGGGATCTTTAATCGTAAGGTATTCATATGACCTAACTAAAGAGCCTTCTTCCAAACTTTTTTATTTGGATCTGCTGGTATTGTAAATGCAGTGTCTCCTATTCTTGGTTGGCTTAATTGACAGTTGGGTATCATTCATGTTAATTTGCTTGGCAGTGGCATCGACGAACCTGAATTTATCAGAATTATTCATTGAACTTGTATACATAAAACTCCAAAATATGAATACAAAATTTAGACAATCTGCATTTTCACTGAGTCTGAAATTCGTCTTTATATTCCATATTATATTATATTCCACCTTTTTAAAATTCTCTAATAATTCATGCCTCAAACCTTTTCTATTCAACTTTTAAAGATTTCTAAGTAAGAGGTTGTTCTTTAATTCGCATTTTTATCGAAACTTTTTGTGATATTTTATTCTTTAATGATGGATATTTTGTGATATTTTATTCTTTAATGATGGATNTTTTGTGATATTTTATTCTTTAATGATGGATATTTTGTGATATTTTTTTCTTTAATGATGGATATTTTGTGATATATTATTCTTTAATGATGGATATTTTGTGATATTTTATTCTTTAATGATGGATATTTTTGAAACAAAATCCCCAATTGAAGAGTAAGATTAATACATTAATTTATGCGATATTATTTCTTTGCCTAAGATTAACCAAAAGACGACATTTTAACATAATTTATTTACCGTTTAGATTATTGGAAATTACTGGTCCCCTCTCTCCTAAAATCCCATTCCATAGAACCTCAGAAAAAATATTTCACGATATCTGAAAATATTCACTAACAATTATTGGCTATTTTTAATACAAAAGAGATGCATAACTTTATCTCAAATTCAGCTATAATTCACCAGACGATCCTCATATCCCTAATGATTAAATAAATTTTAAAATAAAAATTAATATCATTAATTTTAGTTAACTTTTAGCACAAAATATTCGCAATTGTGTTAAATATCTAAGGTTTTAATGTAGATTGTTAGACTCTCAAACAACCTAAAATAACCAATTATGTTAAAATGCAGCTGTACTGGCGTACACAATACAGCTGTACTGGCGTACACAATAGTCGGATAAATTTCCAACGCCTAGTCTTTATAATTAGCAAAGTTTTTGTGTATAATATATATTAAAACAACAGAAGGAAATTACGACTTTTTTCAGGCCCACATATTACAGCTTAGTTCAAGGGAATTCTACCTCTTTGAATCACAGTAAGTTTTTTTACAAATCTATTTTATCAGATATAAAGGATTTAAAAAACATTTTTCTATTTATTGCATACAATGCTAATTTTCGCCAGCAATCTTTATATTTATTTAAATCTAATTTTTATGGTTGATGCATGCATGTGATAGATTCACAATTGCGTTATTTGTTAGTTCATGTCAAGGTTTTAATGCAAGGAAAGTTAACTGAAGGTGTTTATATGAATCCATTTCTCTCTGGGCAGACTTTTTCCTATATGTATAAAATGCCTTTTTTTCGACTACGAAATGTGCACCCTTCAGAAGGTGGGTGGTGAGGTTAGTAAAGGTAGTAGAGTGTTATGAATGCCAGAAACAAGCTTAAAACAATTGATTTAATGGGAATTGATACCCATATTGTATACCATGCGCAAAGAATAATCAAAAAGTGGGGATGGAATTCTGTAAGAACTGAAGGTAGTTTGGGTAGTGAGGGTAGTTCCTATACAGATTCAGATTCAAGGGTGGAGGTGGGTTCTCTTTTGCAAACAGACGGTAGTTGGGGTAGTAAGGGTAGTTGCCATTTAGATTCAGCTTCAAGGGTGGGGATGGGGTCTCTCTAAAAACAGACAGTAGTTGGGGAAGTGAGGGTAACTGCCCCACCCTGGAAGCTGAATCTAAATGGTAAATACCCTAACTATACCAAACTATCGTCTGTTTTTAAAGAGACCCCACCCCAACACCTTAAAGCTGAGCCTAAATCTGAATGGCAGCTACCCCAACTACCAACTGTCTTTAGAGAGACCCCAACCCCACCCTTAAAGCAGAATCTTACGGTAGTTAGGGAAGTTGGATTTAACAAGCTTCAAGGGTGGGGGCGGGGTCTCTCTAAAAACAGACGGTATTTGGGGGTAGTTAGGGTAGTTGCCATTTAAATTCAGCTTGGAACGTGCCAAACCCTAATTATATAAGATGACTAACAAATATAGAAAAATTTACCTTTATATACACTACTTTAAATTTATGGACTTAAGAACATTTTTTTCAGTTTCTGTCTTTATCTAAATTATATTATTTAAATATATATACACATTCATGACACATTGGGGCAATTGCAGAATTAATATATCTTTAATACATATAAGATTTATGAATTTATGAGGGGACATACCTTAACTACTAGAATACTAATACTGGTTAATGTTACAGGTCTGGACCTGATGCCGGCTATACTAACTATTGGTACTACTGGCAAGATAATAGCATTGAAGGTATTAAATTTGTTATTAACCACCGTAGATCTGAGTTGGGAACTTTTGTGTTGGATACCTATAATCCCTTGATCTTGATATCCATTGCAGGCCCTTTTAATTTTAGGATCAATTCTAAATCTGTTCAGGGTACAGTTACTATGCTGGATATCCAATACAGATTAAATATATCTACTGATCCCATTCCCAGCTCTGAATAACATTTAGAAATGGTTGCTTTTACAACAATATTTGCAAAATTTTTATTTTTGTTTGTTTGTTATACATTTTGAACAGAATGATAAGGATATCTTACATGTTTAGATGTTCCTAACATTCTCGTGCTTTTTTTTTAACAAAATATTTTCTAAATTCTCCTAAAAATACTTCAGGGAATGAAAATGTGATTCAAAAATACCAGAAGAACCGACAATCTCCAAGACAATTTGTAAGATGCAGCTTATTATTAAAACCAGCCAATTGTGTTACTAATCTATTTATAATTAGTTTGCTGTTGCAAGTATTCCAAGATCTTCTCTCATCCTTGGAAACTGTGTGAAACCATCCCCCTAGAAAAATTCCAGAATATGTCTCTGACGTCAGCTTGGTGAATTGTGACCTTATATCTGACATATTGTTGTATATAACAAAATATTGTTGTACATAACAAAAAATTGTTGTATATAACAAAATATTGTTGTACAAAACAAATATTGTTGTATATAACAAAATATTGTTGTATATAACAATATATTGTTGTTTTTAATAATATATTGTTGTATACAACAAAATATTGTTATATATAACAAAATATTGTTGTATATAATAAAATATTGTTGTTTATGACAAAATATTGTTGTATATAACAAAAAAGTGTTGTATATAACAAAATATTGTTGTATATAACAAAATATTGTTGTTTATAAGAAAATATTGTTGTTTTTAAAAAAATATTTTCTAAATTCTCCCAAAAATACTTCAGGGAATGAAAATGTGATTCAGAAATACCAGAAGAATCGACAATCTCCAAGACAATTTTTAAGATGCAGCTTATTATTAAAACCAACCAATTGTGTTACTAATCTATTTATAATTTGTTTGCTGTTGCAATTATTCCAAGATCTTCTCTCATCCTTGGAAACTGTGTGAAACCATCCCCCTAGAAAAATTCCAGAACACGTCTCTGACGTCAGCTTGGTGAATTGTGACCTTATATCTGACATATTGTTGTATATAACAAAATATTGTTGCACATAACAAAACATTGTTGTATATAGCAAAATATTGTTGTACAAAACAAAATATTGTTGTATATAACAAAATATTGTTATATATAACAAAATAATGTTGTTTATAATAATATATTGTTGTATATATCAAAAAATTGTTGTATATAACAATATTGTTTATAACAAAATATTGTTGTACAAAACAAATATTGTTGTATATAACAAAATATTGTTGTATATAATAAAATATTGTTGTATATAACAAAATATTGTTGTATATAACAAAATATTGTTGTATATAATAAAATATTGTTGTATATAAAAAATATTGTTGTATATATCAAAATATTGTTGTTTATTACAAAATATTGTTGTTTATAACAAAATGTTGGTGTTTATAACAAAATATTGTTGTATATAACAAAATATTGCTGTATATAACAAAATATTGTTGTTTATAACAAAATATTGTTGTTTATAACAAAATATTGTTGTATATAACAAAATATTGTTGTTTATAACAAAATATTGTTGTTTATACCAAAATATTATTGTTTATAACAAAATATTGTTGTATATAACAAAATATTGTTCTGTATAACATAATATTGTTGTTTATAACAAAATATTGTTGTTAGTAACAAAATTTTGTTGTTTATAACAAAATGTCAGATTTAAGGAATGGTTATAGATAATATTAGACATTCTGGATGTACTTCAATGTATGTAAAGACGACTATTATAGCAATGGTCACTCTAATACCCAATATGACGTCACTGATACTTGGCTAAAATTCATCACATTGGGTAATAGAGTGCCCATTGCTATTAAAGTCGTCTTCGCCTACATAAAAGCGCATTCAGAGTGTTTAGCCTTAATATTTGACATAGTGTTGGACTATTAGAGTAAGGGTTCTTTTGATAGCTTTAGATAGCTTCATAGTTAATAATTTTATTATGCATTTTCAAAATATTTAAATATATCATGGTATTACTATGGGATGGGATGTGAATGCATTTTTTCATTATAGTTTTATTTGCACACAAATATAATGAAAAATAGTGAAAAAGCTGTTTGCTAAACAGTGGAATACATTTGATATTTTGATTTTTAAAAATATGGGTTCTTATAATGATATAGCATTTATAGCTAGCTGCATATTTTATGCTTAAATCTTGCAATTTGGTATGAAATGAATTTTAAGTTAATGTTTCCTAAAATTGTTTATTCAGCTCTGAATATCAAAAAAAAATCTTCAAACCTTTTTTCAGTATTTATGTAATACTATCAAACATCAAACACCCTCGATCTCAATATCCAATGTGGTCACTTTTAAATTTGAGGATCTATGCTTGTTATTCCTGGAAAAGTATTAAATTGATTCAAAGGTTTTAAAGTGTGGAGATCTCGCAAAAGTTCAAAAAAGACAAAAAAGAAATTGAAAATAAGGAACTTGCTATCTTTGTTTTGATTTTTAAAAAAAAAATTCAGAACTTGAATTTTATTTGGAATTCCAAAATCACAATCAAAATGTTTTACCATCTTTATCATTTTTTTGCTTGAATTATAACACCATTGTGATTGCTTATTTGTAATAACTCATGCTTTGTAGTTGAATAAAAACATAAAATATGAATTCCCAATTCTGTTCTCATGTGATTTGAATTTAAATCTTGTAAATTCATTACATCACAAATGTTTTTGGTTTTATTAAAGATTTTTCTCTCAATAATACAAGAAATACATTACATTTAAACTAATTAAAGAGAAAACAGTTATTTATGGATTCATATTTGCAATTTATTGTGATCGTTGACTTTTTACCTTATATATTTAATTTTATTTGAACCCTTTCCTAATTATACACCATTAAAATTTTGTGGTTTGGCTTGAAATATAGATATAAATTCAATGTGTTTTTTTATAATTGCAGCACCTCTTGTATCCTTTTTCAGTAACAACATGTTTTTGAAACATGCTGCAAATCTCTTGATCAGAATTTAAATTTGATCGAAATTTTTAAAATACTACCTTTATCTTTGCAGCCCAATGTTCTTAACCTTATATGTTTCAAGCTATGAATTTTGTTATATCAAATAATCTATGTTTGAAATATTTTAAGATCTAGATATTTATTTATGTATAGAGGTTATTACATTTTTACACAATTATTTATATTAACAAAGGACTTTTTTACGAAGTTATCGTGTACATACATTTATAAATTAATTAAGAAGCAAACATTTATGATACGGATACATTAGACCGTTTTCTCTTGCAAATATTGGTGATAAATTTATATTCAAGTAGTGACAAAACAGCAGTTCAAGAAAAAAAACTACATTATATATGATAAGATAGCATAATTTTAAGCAATATGCCTGTGGGATACTACAAACACAGTGTGTGTTATCTCTTATGTTACACATAACTGTGTGCATGTTTTCACGTAAACATAAACGGGGCGAGTTTTCTTTTGTGTTAAAGAAAATTGTTGTGAGCTTCATAATGATAAACATTGACCATTTCTCGTTAATATTGAGGCTACATAGTTTAGGACAAAAGAAAGAACATTATATTTGAGAAATATTTTTTTTTATCAAGGAAAATTGATTTTAACATCATAATGAGAAACATTGACTGTTCCCCACTAAAAATTGATGTTAGTTTCATAACGAGAACCATTGACCATTCTTCGTTATTATTGAGGCTACATAATTTAGGGGAAAAAATATGGAGCGTTATAATTTGCATATATAGTAACAAGGAATATTTTAATATAAACATGCTAGGGAGCTAGTTTCAATCTTTAATAGCAAGGAACATTGACGGCTCCTTGTTAAAATTTTGGAAATATATAAAAAAGGATAGTGTAAAGCTCAGGAAGGATAGTATAAAGCTCGGTAGGATAGTGTAAAGCTTAGGAGGATAGTGTAAAGCTCACGAGGATAGTGTAAAGCTCGGGAAAGGATATTGTAAATTCGGAAAGGATAGTTTAAAGCTCAGGATGGATAGTGTAAAGTTTGGGAAGGATAGTGTAAAGTTTACATTACACCATCCGCTGTTATTTACAGGTCTCAATCTCTCAAGCAAAAATTGATAAAAAATTTGCCAATTATTTCTTTAAACAAAATCGAACAACAAGTGCTTTATAGTGCTTAAATGTACATGTAAAGGGCTACAGAAAAGCATAAGTAAGTTAGAGCAGTCAAATCAAAGTCCAATGCGTTGCAAGCACGCATCAGGTTCCTAAGGTTTGCGTAGATTTGTTTACAGTTCACACAGTCCCTGTAAAGAAATTATTGTTTAAAAATACAAAAATGATAGTTTTTTTTCTTTAATTTGAAATAAAAACAATTATTATCCCTTTTTTTCAAATTTTTTTGTGTTTTGTCAAGCGCAAAGTGACTAAATTTAAAATTATATTTCTGACTACTATAAAACAATGGTTTCCATTCATTAATAACAAATCAATCATTACCTAATTTATCTAATTTAATCAAATAAAAAAATTCAGTTTCATTATGAAATTCTATTAAAATTGTTCTAGGATGACAGCTACAAAATTTAGTTCGGAAATTAAGCCATTCAAATAATATTTTTAAGACATGAGCAAATTTACTAAAACAGCTTGCTCCTAGAATTATTAAAAATACTTAGAATGATAACATACACATATCAAATATAATTTGTTTTGGCAATGCTTAAAAGATTGTTCCTTGCTCAACCCTAATCTTATGCACAGCATTCTTTTACTTTATTAAATGTGTAAAATGATAATTACACATCTTGTGAAAACCCAAGGAATGAGAAAAATATTAAAATTTTGCCAATTATTGCAGAAGTATCTGATATTTGATTTGATAATATAATATTTATATTATTTAATAAAAGCGTCAATTTATTCATAAACAATCTGTTTTTTCTGTGTTAAAAAAAAATAAATGTCTTTTTTCCCATAACATTATTTCTATAAACAAATAATGAAATGTTTTAGAATTCTAGATGTCCAAGGCAAAAGGAAAACGTTTTTTCTAAATTGACACCCATGGTGGAGAAAAATAAGTATTTTAGTATTTAAGAATACATACTTTTAAAACCTAGGCACACAGAAAATGTCCTGAGTATGAAACATACATATAATAGGTAAAAATAGGTTTATTAAAACCTTAACTGAAAGTGGAAGAATTCCTTGGTGTAAAATATACATATTTATGATAAAATATGTATTATTTAAAACCTAGACAGCTAGACATTTTTTAAAGTAAAAAAAATACGCAAAAATATGTAAAATAAAAACATAAGTACTTAGGAAAATCGCTTGGTAAATATATGCATATAGTTGAGTAAAACATTAGCACTGTAAAAATTGCTCAGGTATGATGCTTATGTAAAAATATGTAAAAACATGTACATTTTTTGCAAAAAAGTTGATCACACATATTTGTTTAACATAAATACACCTATATTTGTATATACAATAAAGATACTTTAGTATTTTCAGGTTTTTGGGTTAGTAGGGCAACCTCAAACTATTTTCTATGTCAATTTCTTTTATCCAACATGGAACTCCTTTCTAATCAACAGAGATCTCTCTTCTATTTAACATGGAATTCTTTTTTTCTTAAATGGAACTCTTTTTTCCAACATGGACCTCTTTTTTTCCTACATGGACCTCTTTTTTTCTTACATGGACCTCTTTTTTCCTACATGGACCTCTTTTTTTCTTACATGGACCTCTTTTTTCCTACATGGAACTCTTGTTTTCCTACATGGAACTCTTGTTTTCCTACATGGAATTATTTTTTTCTTAAATGGAACTCTTTTTTCTAAGATGGAACTCTTTTTTTCAAAATGGAACTATTTTTTCCTACATGGACCTCTTTTTTTCCTTTATGGAACTCTTTTCTATTCAACAGAACACTTTTTAAATTTAATTTTAATGATAACAATGATGATAGCAATGATGATAACAAAGATGATAACATAGCATACACTCTATTAGGGGCAACTAAAACTGCGAGTAAGGCTTACACAGAAAAGACTCTGGGAATAGCTCTGGGAGCAGCTCAAATTGAAAGTACAGCTAACATAGTAGAAACTCTGAGATCAGCTCCGGTAATGAAAGAAGCAGCTGGGAATGTAGTGGAAGGGTCTTGCTCAAAGATCAAGTCTAAGCTGTTTACTGTTTATTATATATGTTAATGACTTCTTCCAATCTCACAAACTTTTCAGTGTAACTTTTGCCGACAACACAAATGTGGCATCAAAATGTAAAAACTTGAATACTTTAGCAGACACAATAAATCAAGAATTAGGAGAAATAACGTGTTGGTACATGTCTAATAAACTAACTATTAACTTTGAGAAAACTAATGCAATTTTATTTCAAAATTCCCTAAATGCACAAAAAGACTGTCCTGATGTTTTCTTTAAGTTAGGAGAATATACACGAAAAATTTAACGAAAAAAAAGATTAAGTAAGATTCTTGGGAATATGGCTGGACACAAAATTGAACTTTAATGACCATTTCAAAAAGGCGGTTTTCTTTTACACTTTATGCTATGAAAAAAATTAAAAACTTCTTAAGTTTTGAAACCACGAATTGTTCTATTACTCCTTTTTCCACTCTCATTTAAAATTTGGTTCATCATTCATAATGCTTCCTTCAAACAAAAATATTGATAAGATAGAATCTTTTCAAAAGAAAGCTATCGTTCTTTCGACAGGGTTACCTAGAGTAAGTCACACAGCGGAATCTTTCAAATTTTAATCTTATTTCGAATTTTAAACAGAATTTAATAGAAGATTTTTATCAGCAGAACACATTTTTTATTCTAACACATGCTATGTTTGCAAAAGAATCGGAGAAAGCTAAGACAACTTTACAAAGAAAAGAATAAAAAGATTAAAAAGAGCAAATGATGTCAAAAAACGGCATGAATTAAAAAGATGCTTAAAAATGCCCGTTTTTCATAAAACTTATATCATTCTCACACTGCATAAAGCTTATTTTACTTTTTTTAATATTAAAAATAAATCTATAATTTTTAGTTCTAAAAGTTGTTAGTTCATTGTCGAAAAAAACTAACAATCCACCACCCATTTATATTAAATATAGTGTAAACAATAAATATGTAACTTGCCTTATCCTTTCCTTTTTCCTTTAATCATATTTTTATATTTTTTCAGAATCGGGGGAAATATTCCCACAACCTCTACTTTTAAAGGTTTTTAAATATTTTCTTCTCTAACACTTCTTTTTGTATGTTTTTGTTATATTTCGTAGATAAATAAATTTTCACATTATTTTTACTTTTTTGTTATCAATAGTCTATCTCTACTTATGAGCACAAACTGATTTACATCCATTACTTTTTACACCTTGCATTTTTACATTGCAGTCGGAATTTTTCTTGCATGTTGGAAGACAACTACCATCAAATGGGACCATGTTTGTATTCTTGCAAGTCTGAGAGGTTTGTTCTACCGAAATAATGTCAAAACCCCTATCAAGTAGGCAAACTTTTAGGCAGGTCAATCCAATTGGACATTTTTTTTCTTGGAACATTTGTCCAAACACCTGCCAGGATCTGTCCAAGATTGAGTTTTAGCATTACATTCACTTCGGATTTTGAAATCAAAAGTACCTTGGTTATTGCCTCCTCCCCAACCTCCCCACCCTCCTATTTCTCCTCCCCAACCTCCCCACCAATAGTCAGTTCCATTTAATTCAACCGAAGGAAGAGACAAGTCAATGGTTCCATTATTTTTTTCAGATACTTGCTCTGGTTTAAGTGTGGTCAACTCTTCTTCCTCTTTTCTTGGTTTAATTGTTTTACATTTACATTCTCTAACACTTTTCTTCCTGGTTTTCAGAGGTTCAAGCAAGTCAATAAGTTTCTGGATACCTATGGATGATTTTAAACTTTATCTCACTTATTTTTTTTAATTTTTAATTTTCAGTTTTGGGCTGTGAATGATATCCCACACTTTACATAAACCCTTAAACCCTCATTTCTAGTAAGTGTCTGTCATTATATTGTGAGAAATAAATTACCATTGCTCGGTATTTCAGGTATCACATTAACTTCTTCACTTCTATGGTCTGCTTCTTTGATATCTTCCCAACTTGACCCCACCTCGCCCCTATATGGAATGTAATCAAGATTTAGGTTTTGAAAGTCTGGGAGTTATCTATAGATGTAAATAGCCCCAAAATCAAAATTTGGGTTATATGTCATTTTTTCCGTGCGTCTGTGCGCCTTCCAAAATTAAATAAAACAAGTTCAATTTCAG